CCTTGCAACATGATCTGCAAAGCAGGCTCATGTGCTAAGGAGGATAGTGTTGGATACAGTCTGCAAAACAGCCCTGTTCCGTCCTGTTTATGATACATGTCGCAGAGCTCACAAAGCAATACCTCAGAATTGTAAGAGGCATCGAAGTCTGTTCGCAATATATATATATATATGTAGATACACACATACATACATACATACATACATACATACATACATACATACATACATATATATGTATATGCATGTATATGTATATACTCTGCATATACTATGTATATACTATATATTACTTTTTCTATATACAACTCGACGCCTGAATCTTGCAAACCCCGGACTGGTGCAGATATATGTCCATGTAGGAGATGCTAATATCTATTGAAGTTTCAGGGATCTATACCTAGGGGGAAGGCCTCTTCTTAAGTTGAGGTCATCTTAGATTCAGAAATTTAGTGCCTGCAGGACAGCCAAGAGACCATTGCTGCCCTAGCCGGCATTTCTTCCAAGGCAGCTTGGCAACCTAATCCCGAATGATCGATTTGTAAAATCAAATCAACATCAGATTGAATCCAACCGGATGCAGGAGGAATCCTACGAAGCTTCCACTACTGCTCCGCCTTCGCTTTTGGGGCTTCCGTGCTTCAACTGCATGCAAGCATAGGAGAGAACAAGAGACAGAGAGAGAGAGAAAGAGAGAGAGAGAGAGAGAGAGAGAGTGTTTCGATGGCACAGGCCCGAAAGTTGTGCACACAAGGTCGTTCCAGACGGCCTCGTCTTTTGCGAGTGATGGTTCGACGGCTTCGATCGACATCTTTGATTCGGATGAGGAGAAATCTGGCGAGAGCCAGACCCCTCCAAGCAAGAAGGCCAAGGCTTGTGTGGCTGCTGCGATGAATATCGACCTGGAGATGGCTGTGACGCCCCCTCCGAAGTTCAGCAGTGCCAAGCAGCCTGCTGTGGATCCCGGTAGTGGCGTGAAAAGTGTGAATCCGATTCCTTCGGACCTGTTTGGCCCAGGTGCCATCCAGCCCGTCAAGATCGAACCCACGCTTGCCAATAGTGCATGGAAGTCGCGAGAGTGCTTGAAACAGTATCTCGGGGACGATGATGAGGTGGAAGCTTTCATGCAGCGAAAAGAGGCGGCCCAGCAGTACAAGGATCGTTGTGGTCCAAACGGAACCACGGTGAGGTTGTATTGGGCCCCCTTTCCTGTGCCTTCTTGCACAGCCAAGAAAGCAGCACCCACGACGCCTATCGCACCGCCAGGTGCAAAAGCCGGGCCCCCCGCGAAAGCTACCTCACCGCCCAGCGCAAAAGCAGTGTGCCCCGTGACCCCACCTCCGAGTGCAAAAGCTCCGTGCCCCACTTTTGCTACCTCGCAGATCGGTGCAATGCCTGTGCCCGCTGTGATTCCCCCGCCGCCGAAGGTGAGCTTCGTGGATGTGAATTGCGCCACAACCAAGGCTTCGGGTGCAGTGCCCTTGCAGGGGATCCTGCGAAACTCGCCTGTCCGATTGGACGTGCCGAAGAGTGGTGGCATCAAGAAGGAGGCCACGAGGGATGTGCCAAAGAGTGGTGGCATCAAGAAGGAGGCCACAACGAATGTGCCAAGGAGTGGTGGCATCGACAAGGAGGCCGCGACGGATGTGGCGAAGAGTGGTGGCATCGACAAGGAGGCCGCGACGGATGTGCCGAAGAGTGGTGGCATCAAGAAGGAGGCCACGACGGATGTGGCAAAGAGTGGTGGTATCAAGAACGAGGCCGCGACGGATGCGCCGAAGAGTGGTGCCATCAAGAAGGAGGCCACGACGGATGTGCCAAAGAGTGGTGGCATCAAGAAGGAGGCCACGACGGATGTGGCAAAGAGTGGTGGCATCAAGAAGGAGGCCACGACGGATGTGCCGAAGAGTGGTGGTCCCGTGACGGCTGAGGTGCCATGTGCCGAGAGTGAGACGGCCCCCGCCGATGCTACAGCCGAAGCTGCTGTCCCAGCCCAAGGTGCCATCCTCCCGCATGCCATTGTTACGCCAGGGGCTTCTCGTTTGCAATTGCACGCAGTTACACCGTGTGAGCGACTGTGAGTGTGCTATATAGGGACCAGCTTTCAGGCTGCAGGCTCATCTTGGGGTCTAATTATGATAGATAGCTATATAAAGGAATCATTCAGGTGCCAAAATGGGTCAAGGATGACAGCCCTGAAGTTCCTCAAGTGACAAACATCAAGACCGCTCTGCACTGAAAGCCCGGACCCGAAACCCTTAACCCACCTAGGCTCCTATAGTCCCAAACTGTACTCGAAAAAGACGTTCATGGCAGGCTTGCTTGCTCAGAAAGCAGTGTTTGAAACTCCTGAAATCCACAACCTGTCCGCCCTGAAACAGTCTATCCTCGCTGGCTTTAGAGGAGCTAGGGAATCCAATTATCGGGCGACATAGGAGTTTATAAAGACTTACGATGACTTACGGCTTAAAAATATGAATGTTCAGGGGGTGTACTTACATAACTATGTACAACCCTGAACCCCTAAATAAACCAGCGAGTGTGAGCGCCGAAATAAAGAACCGGCCGAGGATGCCCTCGTTCCAGCGACCTACAAGGAGCGCCAAGCGGCCTATGCCACCTTCAAGAGGCGCCTGTTTTGGCAGCAAGCTATGCTTATAAAATGATGTTATGTACCCTGCTCTCAAAGTATTAAGGCCGGGCTGTGCATTTCTGACATAGTATCGCATAGATAGGCTCCGGGCCTGGTTTACAAAATAGAGCTTGTTTTCTAGGTGCAAAGTGCTTCAATGAAACTTGTTATGGGTTTGGAAAAGAATGTGTAGAGCTGCTCATCAGGTCTCCATACATGGGATTCCTGCTTTCGATATTTCTGCGGTAAGTTTTTGTTTATAAAAAGGTCTACTTTGTGTGGAAGTTACATCAGTGTGTGTACATCGAGTTTGAGGAGCTTCCTATGGCTTCAGATTTACTTCAAGATTTAGGGTTTGGGGTTTCGCTCTCATGGTTTAGGGTCGAGTTAAGTTTGGGGTCAGGATGTTCTTTTGAGGGCTTCAGAGTTTACATGGGGTTTTCTACCCGAACACTCTGGACCCTTTCCGTCTTCAGACGTCGAATCGCAGCACAACCTGCACCCTCCAATTTAGTTTGCTGGTCGATACAGCACCTTCACGGGTCTTGAGAAGAGTTTAAGCGTTTTGGATCTTCGAGGTGATGATAATCTCTTGTCAGGATTGTTTCTATAATGTAGGGGCCTTAATAATTAGAATAGGGTCTACCATACCTTAATTAGAACAAGGAGCCCCTGAAACAGGATAGGCAATTTTTGAAGCCCCTACATTACTTGCCTAAAAAGAAATACACTGGGGTGCACAGGGATAGGCAAGGCAGGGCCCTAGGGGTTTAAGGGCTGCAGATTTTGGGGTTTAGGGTTTTTTGGTTAGGGTTTTAGGGGTTTTAGGGGTTTTAGGTAGATCATCAGGCATAGTCCGTTCCCCCGGCCCCGTGTGTGAAGTCCACTTTTCAAGCTCTGATTCGGTGCCTCATTGGCTCATTGAGAGTCATCGGTCGCCGGCCTGGGCCTTGGGACCTTTGGGAAGATACAAATCCTTGCGCCATCAGGCGAGCTTAGCCCACTGTCGTGGCGAAAACTGGAAAGGATCGTCTCTTCAAAATTCCGTTGAAGGTGCCGTGCCACCTTCCCATCCTTCTTAGTACCGGCCCTGGAAAGTACGGACTGCCTGCCAGAGACTCTGCCAATCATCGTCAGCTGGTTTCAGCTGAAGGAAGAAGGACAAGTCCCTGAGCAGGCACCAGCAGCGACACAGTGTTTGCAGCGAACCACCTGCACGTAACCGCTGGGCCACGACGTCATCGGACAAGTATGCAAAGTCGATCGCACTCTGCATCAGCTTGCTCCCACTTTTTTTGTTCGAAATCCCTGCAGCCTCCACATAGGTCGGGAACATCAAACGAAGTGCGGCGGTAGCACCGGCTTGCCCCAAAGCGGGCAATTGCAGAGCCACCGCAGTGTGGTTGTGGAAGGAGTCATGCATAGCATCCCTCTCAGCCGGGCCAGCAAACTGAACAGAGTCGAGAAGCTGCATCCAATCTCTCTGGTCCCTGTTCACCACCAACCATTCATGGCAGAAGGCATCGTAAATGCCACGCACGATTGCCCGTTCGGTAGCCATGGCTAACTAATCAGGCTATCTTCTCCCACACAGCACAATGGAGCCCAGTACTGCAGTGGCGGCTATGAAACTCAACACACCAACTTTAGGGTTTAGGGAAGCAGGCTTCTGGTTTTGGGTGTCTTCGGTCTTGTGCTTCGGAGTTCTTTGCAAGCCTTCACAGAGGATAGCCCACTGGAGTGTAGGCACCTGTATAAACAGCATCTCTAGTCACCCCGAATCTCGCCCCATTCCCGGATGCTCTGTCAATGATTGCAGACAATGGTAAACCCTAACATCGCAACCGTCACACCCCCTCCCCAACAAACAAGGTGAATTCAAACCCTAAGCCCGAACCGAACCCCGAACCGAACCAAGACTTGCCCGCCTTTCCATACCACATATAGCTGCAGTGAAGCCCAATCTTGCACCAGGCAAGTGACGGAGGAGGTGATATCCGACATTCCTGAGGAGGTTGTGCAAGCTTGGCAGGAGGCTGTGAACACTCGGAGCAAAGCCAAGAAAGGTCAGCTTTTCGCTTTGTTCCTGCAGCTGGGTGGTGATTGGGGAAGGCTTCTAGTCTGCATGCAGAGGTTTCGTCCGCATGATGCTGCACAAGAAGCCAGGAACAGAACAACTAAAACAATGTGTGATTTGAGGCTGAGCTTCCGATCGACGAAGCGACGAACCGACAGGGCCACCGGCCAGAGGGTCATGGGCAGCTCGCCTTCCTTGGATTGGTCAAGTATAGGGCTTATTATAGGATCCAAGGTTTTATCTCCAGGGTCGAAACCCTACCTTAGTAAAACCGCATTTTTCTGCATGCACCAAGACCTCAGTTTCAGGTTTCAAGTACTGTACATTTAAATGACTCCAACCAACACACTTTCGAAAAATCCTTTAGACCAGGGGCCTGTAACATCAATAACACCCTGAAGTATAGGCCCTAGTTTATGGAGACCCTAAATAGAACGCTTCTGTGGTTACCTGCTGAAAACCGCATTGTTGGAGACTTCCGGTCAATCGATGCATCGAGAAATGTATCTTTTCATTGTGAAAGTCAGTGGCTTTCGAAGACGGTGTGGCTAAGGGTTCAAGGACTTCGGATTGCGGGTCTCGGGCGGAGTTCGAGTCTCTCTTCTGTGAGCATGTCTTGCAAGACCTTTTGATTTCATACTCCGGTGCAGTCTTTTGCGTGCAGGTGTGAGAGAAGTATTTTGTCTCTGGGCCTCTAGAGTCCTCTTACGATCTTTCTAGCAGGCCCCAGGTGCTAGCCCTGGCCAGCTTGCAACTATGGAGCTTTCCATGAGTGGCTCAAGCTTGCGGCTCGTGTGAGCTGAGAGAGAAAAGTTGTAGGCTGTGCAAGACGGTTTGACCGTCGGATGTCAGCGGAGGCTCCTGTTGGCTCTGATTCCAGCAGTGATTCTGTGCCCTCGTCGTACTTGGTTTATCGGCAAATTGAAGCTCTGGAGATTCGGGTGCGGGAGGCGGAGTCCCGCTTGCAGGAGCTCGAGCGGAGCTCTCGAGACCAAGGCCATCGCTTGTCTATGCTTGAGCGCTTCAAAGAGCGCTTGCGTGTGCTCTTTGCTGGCCAGCATTAACTTGCTGCCTCCGCCTCGGCATGGAGTTCCTCTCTGATTCACAGCATATGATTCCGTGCTTTACATCTAGCTGCAAATCTGCTCGAACACTGGAAACTGCTTTTGAAGTTCTCATGTTCGTTTGCCACGGTTCCTGGCTTGTGGACGACCCTTTGCCACGATCGAGTCACTGATATGCTTGCGGCCAGATGGAAATGTAAACCTTTGGGGTTCCAGTCTGCAACAGAGGCACAGCTGCTCCAGCTGCTCGATACACGTCTTTGATCTTCCTTGTACAGGGCACTGCACTGTCATGCGTCGTGGAAAGAGGATTCTGTCGGAAGGTACCCATACCATGCCTGCATGGTCAGTGAGTCTCCATCACGCAACATAGAGGATGATTCTTGTAAGAATATGAAAATCCCCCCAACTCCTTGCGTAGGCCTTGTGGAACCTTATATAGAGATCTGTACCTTTCATGAATTGGGATCCGCCCTAAAAGCCCGAACAAAGAGTCTTAAGCCCTCAACCCCCTAATCCCTTGTGATTCTATAAGGGCGCAAGCCGAATCTAAATCCTGAAGCCCTTAAATTTCAAGAATCCTGAGTATGAATGTCCTACACAACTAAAAACACCCTGCAGGGATGGGGGTTATTTTTTACATGATGTTGCTGACCTCCATGCAAACCCTTAAAACCTTGTTACCCCTATAAGCCCAAACCTAAAGATCTATAAATTCTAAAACCCATAAACCATCCTCAATATCAAAGTCCTGTATCTAGAAACAGCCTTGAAGTGGAACTTGTTTTTAAATGATGTTGCTGACCTCCATGCAAGCCCGTAAAGCCTTGTTACCCCTATAACTCCAAATCTAAAACTCTCTAAGCCCCAAAACTCTTAAACCATCCTGAATTAAAGCCCTCGAACGATGTTTCCGACCTCCTTGCAAGGATGGCGCACCAAGCCTCAGCTGCTTGAGCTCCATCGTGATTCCCAAGCCGTCGAGGGCCTCGTTCAACGCAAGAAAGAGCAAGGGCTCTTCCGGTATCATCCGGACTTTCCAGGTGATGCTGGTATGCTCTTGTATTACGTACCTAATCTAAATTTGTGTCGAACCATGTTTGAAAACCTTCATCTATACAATCCTATCATGCGCCCTAGATTTCAAGGTCTGTGTGGACCAGACCCTCATCCATGAAGACGTGGCCGAGAACAAACTCGATTTGAATATCGCAGCTGACATGGCAGCCAACTCCGATGCCACTGGACTCTTTTTTATAGACTTAGTTGTTCGATCAAGTGTGAGTTCTGTGTAACAGCCAAGGCAGCGGCTGTCCTTGCTTCGATTGATGTGCTGGCTGGCTTCGATGCACCTACCGAAATGGAACCGAGCCTTCCCGTGTCATCAACAGATGCTGCCACCACTAAGGGCAAAGGCAAGAACACCAACCGAAACCGGGGCAAGGGAAAAGGCAATGACGGTGATGACCAGTCTGCGAGGAGGCTGAAGAAGACTGACGAGTTGCTTGGACCAGTTAATGCTTGTTTCTGATACAACCACATGTGGGCAAGCAAAGCCTGTATGCAGTTACAATTGACAAAGTAAGGCCTCTCCCTGAAGATCCACAGGAAGCTCTTGCAGCCATGGAGGCGCGAGTGCTGGTATCTCTCAAGGAGTGCAAGGTCCTCCTGATGCAGACTCTGAAGCACCAGACGGAGCTCCGTAATTTGCACGCATGTAAACTACAAAGACTCAACTTGTGTGTGTGTGTGTCTGGCATTTTGTATCTACACCCATTCGTGCAGCATCTCAGGAAAAGTGCTGGTGAAACATGCGGACGAGCTCGAGCGGAGCTATTTGCAGCTGAGTGCATTCAAGCAGATGGTGCCTCGCAGTAATATAACCTAAACTGTGTTTCGTGTGTGGTGTCCGAGTTTGTGGGACCAAGTAGGGACTTTGGATAGTGGATACCTTTCTATGCTGCCTCTTGAGAGGATTAGCTGCAAAGAAAGCCCCAGAAAACAAAGCCCCTTCTAGATAGAAGTTTTTGAAACCCACATGTAAGACCCTGGTCCAATTACGTAGGGGGCTATATACATATATGAGCCGCTGTGTTTATTGTAGGCTTAGGATACTTGCGGTATCTCGAAGCGGTGCCCCTATCTTGTGTCATCATATATGAAGTTCTGGCAGGAAAACTGGATCTCGTTCAAGTATTGCTAGTAGCAGCTCTGATCATAAATGAGCCTGATCTCGTTTGAAGCGGTGCCCCGATCTCGTTCCTCTCTTAGAACGAGTTCGGAAAAATAGTGCAAGGACCTATCTCGTTTCAAAAGAGCATAGTATTGACACAAATAAAAGCTGTCGCTCATAAGTATTGTGAGTGTCCTTATTCTAAGTCTACAATACTGGGCCCCCAAACCCTGCTCCCGAGTGCTGATTGCCTGCAAGCCTAAACTACGAAAAAATGGCAGCCCCTGCTTCTGCAACTACAGCCTAAATCCTCAAAGGAATCCCTGCATGTATACAACCCTTGAAAAAAGCCTACCCTAAACCCTAGAAACCCCTACGTATCAAGATGAAAGAGGCTTAAAAGCCTACACTCCGAAACCTCTGAAGTCCAGACAAAGCCCTGAAATCCGAAAGCCCTGAAAATCCAAGCAAAATCCACATGATCACAATGCCTCAGGGTTCACCCAACATCCCACAACTCCTAAAGGTGCACCCAAGTGTTCACAATCCCAAAGCCCAGAACACCATGTTTAGCTAGAACCCCGAAAATCCGAAACCCTGCATGTCAGGCGGCAGGAGAAGTCATCACTTCTTCGCTCATGGCAGCAGTGAGTCTGGCAATGGAACGCTGGCGATACTACCTGGTGGATGCAGACATCGCTAAGGGTGTGGTTGCCAAGCATAAAAAAGCTGGATCCAAGAAGCAGGACTCCGAGTGCTGTGATTTGCAAGGCCTCTCTCTTTGGAGGTACTCTTAATCTACATGCATGCTGTAAGCAGGATGAGGAAGCCTGAACAAGAACTTGATGGATATGCAGCTGTGTGACAGCAATGGGGGAAGTTAGTGCAAAGCACGGTGTGTGCTAGATGTCGTGTGCAACATGCAAGACAAACAGCCTTGATCCTATATGTGGTTTCATGCAATGAGTAGCGCTGTATGTCTGCTATGTCAGATGGTTTCCATTATTCTCAACTTCATACATACTATGATTCCTGCAGTCTTGAAAATGTTAGCCTGTAATTATGGGAGGATCCGAAAGCTGTTTGTGGGTCTGCAACTACAACTGCAAAGCGGTTGAGCGAGTGCAAACATGCGATTATCTGCCACATGTGTGTTGCACCATGCAAAGCAAGTGCTGTTCTCAGAAGTGTGCGCAGAGACAAACAGTGGTTTCAAGCGTGCTCGGTCAAGTATGCAGCTGCAGCTC